GGATGATCTTTAAGGTCCCCTCCAACCCTAAACCATACTATGAATCTCTCTCTCTTATTTAAAAATGGTTGTGTACGTGTCTTCTGTGTCCAAAAACAATGATCAGCTCTTGGAATGCCAGCATATAATGTCCTGTGCAACTTGTTTGGCACTGCCAATAATGCTTTTTCTTTTAATGTTTGCATTCTCATTATTTTGGCTTTATTTTTACCCGAAGCCCTACAAACATTACTACTTCTACTGAAATACTTTGTTTAAAATAAATGATGGCAACTAAGGGGTTTCTGATACAGTCATCAATGAAAGCTCAGACAACTTCTCATGCTTTTGTGAACCTGTGGGTAGATATGGTCCTGTTGTGATGTTGTATAGTTAAGTCTACTCTAAATACAGTAACATTAACTTTGACTGTTTATGTTCACATAACACTACTGTACTCATACTAGACTCAGGAGTGTACAGTTCTAGTAACTTCATTCATGAAACGAGATGTAACACATGCTAATAAAATTCAGTCCTTCAGAAGATGCTACCACTACCTATCTTCAGTGAAATAAGGGGATATCTTCAGGGATCAGTAAGAAAAACTCTACAGTAAGTTAAATGTAGCACACCTCTATTCTGAGATGATCTTAACAAGAAAAAAAAAAAAAAAAAAAAAAAGAGGCAAGTTTATTAAAATTCATTCTCAAAGTTCTACATACTTTTATTGAAAAGAATGCATTTTCTGGGCAACTTGTTTGCATTAAAAGAGCCCTTTCTTTCAAGAAATCTTTACATAACATCCACGCCTACTCCAGCAGTTCAGAATAAGAACTATCTCACAATAAAACCCTGATGTACCACATAGTCCACAATAAATTTGAAGGTAACATACAGTAAGACCATATCAAGTGATGAAACATCATATTTTAGTTAGTCTAGACATATATTTTTGAGCTGAGATTCTTTAAACAAAGCCACAACACAGTCATTGGATGTTGTATTTACTCAATTTCACAATTAAGTCAAAATCCTATGAAAAGTTAGTCAGTCTTTTCAAATAATCCCCATAGTTAGTAACGCTTGAGTGCTAGTTGAGTTGAGAAAATGGACATACTGCGTAAGTCAGTACACTTAAAAACTAAAGTTCAGTAAAACTGGTGAAGCAAGCTTAAATTTATAACTGAAGTAGTTTAGTATTTATAATACAAATAAACCTCTTAGTGTACCTGTTTACACTGAAGAGTTCACAGACAAATGCAACACTTTCACAGTCACTTTAAGTAATCTTAAATAAACTCCATTGAAAAACACTTTCATGGTAGCATTGCATATGTCACCAGCAACCATTTATACTCAAAAATATGCATGAGTGAGTGTTTTTCCTCTGCCCTCAAATGTAATGTTTCAAAAAATCCAAACTGGTCACCTTGAACGTTTTAAAGTAGAACTATACTGAGAGGCATGTATAGCTGAAGCATAAGCCAGATAAAATAAAATTACAGAACTGGGATTTTTTTAAAGAAGGTATGTCCTCTCTGTTAATAATATTCCAGGAAAAGGTACCTACCATGCTCAGCAGAACTTGTTCTTATTTTAAAGAGACAGTCAGCCCAAACTAGGTCTGGGACTGCACTGCAGTACAGGCTAAGAAGATGCTCAAGTCAGAGCAGCCAACTGTCTATTGTGCAAGAAGTTACAGGCTTCTGTAGGGAAGGATGGGAAGGATGAACAATTTCTAGTTCAGTAGGTGCAAGAAAACACCCTTCACTCCATTGTAAACTACTTCCAAATTTATCAGGTTGTCTGAAGAAAGAGTAAACACCCCTTCTCAGTACCTATGTAGGCAGTGAAGCCCATTTCACAAACATCTAACTAAAGCTTAGTGTTCTTTCAGTTACTCTTCAAGTCATTAGACTTGCTGAAAACGCAACTGCATTTAAGACCATTTACGTGAAATTTAAGTAACAAGAGAAAACTACAAATAAGTGTCGTGATGAGGAAGTAGTTAAGGTAACGTAATTTACTGCATTTGCACTTTTCTTCAAGAGTTACCTTAACTGCTTCCTCTTAAAGAAAAGTGGAAATGTAGTAAATTATTTGTTTATACATTCTTGGCTTTATCTAAGGAATGTAGTGGGAAAAAAAAAATTGTAAAATTGAGAATATTACAATAAAAGCCACAGCCACAGATGATGCATACATTTTCCTTGCTAGATGAGGTTCAGAGCTCTCACAGATAAACACATTTTTCAGTGTGGCAAAAATATCTACCCATCTGTGAAACAACACTGCTTACTTCCACTGCCTCGTTCTGCAGATTCACCTCTACTCCAGTGAGAAAAGTGAGGATATGCAGTTTTGATCTATTGGCCATGCTCTTTGTAGCTCCTCTAGTGACATGAAGAGGTCCATGGCATTGCTTCTTCAGTTGGCTGTGCACTTACAGAGAAGGACAGAAGATTCTGGTGTGCATACCAGACAGATAAAACTACTAGCAGAGTTCCATGTGCAGCAGAAAAAGAGACACCACTACATCGTTGCAACCCTCTCTAAATTTAAACAGCGCTACACCCATATTTCATGGGTTTGTGAATGTGTAATCTTCAAAAATAGAGGCACTGGTGACAGTTCCATGTAGAAGATACATAAGAATTGAAAATCTAATTATGGAAGGTTTATATAACATTTTACCATCTGCTCTTCTAAGTAAGAGTTATAATTAGTGTACACTGCTTTTACATTGTGTTATTTAATATTCTGAGGCCATTACCTTAATCTGGAAGCATGACTTCTACAGAAGAGTACATAGCTGGATTGACATTATACCACACTACTTCTTTAAGAAGGTTGGGGGTTTTTTTTAAACTTCATTTGACTTCTTGAGGAGTGAGCTTAATCTCTAAAGGCAGATTATGTCCTCAAGCATGCACAAAATACTTTCATCTCAATATTGCTATAGCCTGTCCATAAATAATATAGCATGCGTACAATTAACCAAAAAAACCAACTAGCCCCTCCCCACAACTAGAAAATGACCAGTTGTCGTCATGCCACAGTCCCCTTAGCCCTGCAGCACTGTTCCGTCTTCTCAGATTTCTTTGTCCAGTTATGCTGCTTTCTGGTAACAAACAGGGAAGCCATAAAAAAAACCAGGGGAAACATTTTCTTTTTGTGGTGTATTTGCAAGTAACTTTAAATGTCACCATTAGATGAAGGTCTTATTTAGGTATTAAAGAGTAGCACCATTTATTTCTGACTAATAGACCAAGTTGGCTATTCTAATAACTTGAGAGGGATTTTGGAATAGTTTCCTGGGAAAGTATTTTCTGAACTACTCAAAATTTTTCTGACACCAATTAACTACTGTAACTTTGTTACAGTTATTAGATGAACTCCAATGCGTATTTTAGCAAGGAAGAATTTTAAATTGTAACAACCTTAATTTCACCAAAAATAATTTCAAAGCACCCTTGTAACAAGACCATTCCATTACTTGTAAATGTATCAAATGTCAAAAACACTATAATGGCACAAGTTTACTGGAACAATTATCCAATCTAGGATAAAGGCTTATTATATTTTCTGCAACCACTAAGTTAAATGAAGTCCCCTTTTCAGACAGCAGACCAGGCTACAACATCCTAAATCGTGCAAACAAAACAGTAAACTACAACCTTAAATTGCAGCTGCCTTAAAATTAAGCGACATCCAGGACACCAGCAGCCACTAACTGCCTTGAAAGCCAGTCCAATCCTTCATAAAGTCCTGTACCACTTCGGGCATCACAACCCTGAATATACCAGCTACGACCACAGCAGAGTTTGTGGAGACTCAGCAGTTCTGTGATTTCTTCCACTGAAAGTGCACCTGCTACATCCTGCAACAGAATCAGATACAAAGACTCAGTTATACTTCTATATTATGTTTAAAACACTTTATTTTTAACTGATGGCTTAGACTGAAGCTACAGATGACATAAAAGCCTTCCAAATTCAAAAGCCAAACAAAACAGTTACACATTTACTACTTGTTACCATTAAAAAAAAAAAAAGTAAGTACCTGCTTATTAGCAAAGATCAAGAGCAAGGCATCCCGCAATTCCTTCTCTGTTAATAATTTTGCAAGTTCACTGTGTGCTTCACTGACCCTGTCTCTGTGACTGCTATCAACAACAAACACCACCGCTATGAAAGAAAGAGAGAAACATTTTACACATTCAGATATAAACTCTGTAAAATTAGCTTTCAACTTACACAATGCCTTTTTTCTAGCAGTCTTCTATGTGAAGTTTCTCAGCAGTGCACAATTTCAGTTTCAAATCCAGGAGGACTGAGAAATGCCTTACATACCTCTATACTTTTGACAAAAATCTATAATTCATCCTAAAACAGGAGGAAAAAGTCTGAAGTTTTTTGCCTAGTCTAACATAAAGCCTGAGATTTTTTAACTACGTAGGTCTAAAACCAGATTTAATATGTATGGATTGAGTATCTCAGTTTAAACCATTTCTTGATCCATTTATACTCAATCAACTCCCACAAGACTTTTTTTTTCCTCTAACTGGCTGCAAAATCTACAGGTACAGCCAAATCAGCACAGACTACAGAATCCAGAGAAGATTGCCGTGGACCCAACACAGCAGCAGGAGATTTTACTACCCACTACAGAGAGTAACCAACGTGTTGGAAAGACTGGAAAGTCAGGGAGGCAGAGTTAAGAGGACAGAATTTAAACTCACGGGTTTTACAATGAAAAAAAACCCCAACACCAAAACTAAACAAAACTTACTGCAGGTATGCACCAGGTTAACTGCTTAGACTCTCTCTCCAACATATAGTTCCTCAAGGCAGATACGATTCCATGCTACTGGTGTTTACATGGTAAGTTTTAAGAGGACAACAGAATCCCAAAATACAATTTTTAGAAGTTTGAAAAGATCAACAATTTAAAATGTTAAAGTTTGCAATGAAGGCTGAAATAATGCACCAAATGGAGCACATAACACTGATGTTTGTCATTCCTAAGCATTTCAGATAATTCTGAATGAATTAATGAAGAGAACCCCCTTTCTAAATTAGAAAACAACTACGGAGAGTTTACAGATGGACAGCATGAATTTCTAAGTGGGCACCATTTAGATCAAAGTTTTCAGAACCAGTAATCTAGTCTATGACCTGATATTACACTGCAATACCACAGCAGAAGTTATGCAACTTTGTAGGATTTTTTAAGTTGACAACTAAAGGCTCCTAAAGACTGAATATTTTCATTTCAAGTGCTATTTAAACTTCATACCTGGCAAGTACTACTTCTCACTATGCAAACTTTGGAATGCTGCACCTTGTCTGTTGTCAGCTAGAACCAGTTTAACAGAGATTCTAATTTTGTTTGGCTCTATGAACTCTCTGATGGATTTATGGAGAATGTATCTTTATCATGCAGCAGACACTAACACCAACCGGATTAAAATTTCTCAGCTTGTGAATCTAGCAGCCGTACTTTGCATTAGATGAAAAATTTTTTACAGTTATAAATTATTTTTATTAATAATCTTTTTGGCTCTGAAATATAAGCTAGGAGAAAAAATAAAGTTTAGAAGTTGTATTAGTCTCACCTTGTGTATTGAGATAATAATGTTTCCACAAGGGCCTCAATTTGTGCTTCCCTCCTACATCCCAAATAGTAAACTTCAGATTCTTGTATTCTACTGTTTCAACATTAAAGCCTAGAATAAAAATATTAAAGTTTTATAGTCTTGTTCTATATGAATATAAAATAATCAAATTCTACAGATAAGTCCAAATTCAGAAAAATAATTACATTTAAATTGTTGCTACTAACCTATTGTTGGAATTGGCTGCATGAATTCATCTTGCTTTAACTTAAACAAAATAGTTGTTTTGCCAGCTCCATCTAATCCTAGAGTGACAACCCGAATTTCCATTTTTGGTCCAATATGTACCCTATTGTCCTAGAAGAAACAGCAGGCACAAAACAAGAGCAAGTTTAGGAAATTCAGATTAGAAAACCCTTATGTTTAAAATACTTAGCTTGTCACTATTTGTAAAGTGATTAAATGGATGGACTCCAAAAATACAAGGCACAGTCACCAATCACTTTCAGCAGTAATATAAACCAGAATATCCAATAATTTCTGCAGTGAACTTGTAACTTCTGCCTGAGTTATCACGTCCCTTTTAGAAAGACAGCCAATCTTATGCTAGTATGTCTGTACTTGATAAAATTTCAAATTCCTTCATCATTCTTGGCTCAAACCGCATGAGGAGCTGTTCACAGCAACTAGTCAGAATTCTCTGAACAGAGAACTCTGTTGGGTTTAGATTTCCACTTCGTTTTCTCAAATTATTAATGCCCCCATCTACAGAACTATGTCCTTGCTGGCACCTCCACAGCTATGCCTCTTCACCTCAAGCTGTTTCCAATCCTTTACCGCATTACATTGTTAGCGACATTACTGGCATTAAGCAGTAATCTGAAATAGTGAAGCAAAACATACAACAAGCTGATGCTAACAACGTGATCAGTGGTATTACCAATATAAAGCAGCCAGCCAGAAATTGGAAAATAAATAACATAGGCTAAGATTACTATGTATCTCTGAAACATATTTTGAAGTACTTAGAAATGCTAACTTGATGAAGTACCAGATTTCAAACATCAGAACTATGTGGCAATACGTTTGTTTTCTTGCAAAATCCAGACAGCACTGTGCTGGGCAAGGAATACAGAAAAACTTCCGTCTATCAGACATAGCTTTTTAATTCTTCTTGCATTAGAAATGCTATTTATTGAGTGCAAAAATGCTACAATGTCTCCTAGTTCAAGACGAACATCCAGTGTGACCAGATGTATGAACATCTACATCATGTAATGAGAGAGAGAGAGACAGACCCAGAGGATATATTATATAGCTGGATATATGACATCATGATACACAACTCCATTCTCCCCTCTGTCACAGATGAAGCAGCATACTGCCAGAATAATCAACAGACATTAAATCAATGCCCTTGTGTTATTGCAGTCTCCAAGAAGAGTAAAAACACCTTGAGAGACAGCTTTCTAAAAAATAAAAAACCCATGCAAGTACCACAATGCAAAAGTCAGTAACATCACAATTCTTAAGTGTAAGAGTCAGATGAAAGGCCCATCTAATCTAGCACGTTGTCTGAAACTGGGTAAAGACAGACACATGTGAAAGTAAGGAACAGGCAAAGCACATAGTGATAACTCCCCTAAGTGCCCTGTTAGCTTGCAGCTCGTGGATTTACTGAGCCAACAGTGCAGTTTCTGCAACTCACAGATCTTGATGTATTATCCATCTATGAATCTGCCTGTTTGCTTTTTGAAACCACAGATATTTAGGGCCCAGAAGACCCCTGGTATAGGATTCCACAGAGTAACTATCTGTTGTGAAAAAATGATTTTATTTGAATCTGTGAAATAAACTTCTACAAGCTGAGCAGTTTCAGCACTACAGCTTTGATACTAGACAAGGCAGATGCTCCAAAAAGCAAAAGACTGACTGAATATTTAGGATTTGGAAAAAAACCACTGATATTTATTTGCCTTTTAATAAATCTCCTCTAAGTTCTAGATTTTTTGATTCAGAGCCGAAGTTGCCAAATTCAGTGACAACATCGCAACACAGCATGTTATAGAAAGGATTATCTCCTTCTGGAGAAGAAAAACCTGTGGGCAGATTTTTCACAAGCATGTCAGCAGTAAAGGTGCAGGCAAAGAGAAAGAACACGAAGAAGTATGCAAAAGGCACTGAAGAGTCTAAAAAATACCATTCCTCCAGCACTATTTCACACTCAAGCCTTAGTTCTGATTTTGTCTAAAATTTCTGGGGATGAATCTGCCCAGTTCTTCTCTGTGCCTGAAAGGAAGAAGGAAAAGAGGCAGCTCTGGATAGACCTGCTAGGTTTATAGGTTTCTTGCTAGAGGCAGCACCTTGTCTATGGCCAGAGCTTGCTGACAGTGAGCCAGGCTGGCCATCCTCTCAGGGCCCCACCAGAAGCACTAGTCACCTCTACAGCTCCCATAACAGAGAAGCAGCGCTGGCCTGTGCAACTTAGAAGCACCAGTGGAGGAGATGATGGCAACTTTAGCCATCTTGTTCAGTGTGCTTTCCTAAAAGTTTAGAGTGAGAACAGGTTGCTCTCAGCATATTTGTACTCCCTCAGAAGGAATCAAAATGCAGTCTGTGATGGCCACCAAATTTCCACGTTTTTGTCACTTCAGGAAGAACCTTGCAAAAAAAAAAAAAAAGTTCCTACTCAGAAGATGATGTAAAGCACCTGTCATATGAGTCAGAAATAATTGACTGCTGGTGATCACAGCTAGAAACTGACAGATGAAAAAAAAAATCTCTCTGCATGAACTATATCAGCACCTTTAATAAAAAATGTTGTTTAAAAAAATCTGGCCCGTAAAACCCCTTCATGTCTGCAGCTCTGGTAGGTGCACAACTTGATAGCATACTTAAAACCAGGTAACCCGTGACTTCCATTCAAGTAAAACCTTGTGTTCTCTAAAACCTCAGTACAGAAAGTGCAGATGAAAACCCCAGACTAGTGTCATCTCTTGTTTTCTGTCGTTGTGGCTTTGTCTTCGTTAAGAAATTTGTTGATGTGACAAAAGCTGTATATAGGTTTACTTAAAGATGTGCTTTCCCTCTGATTATATTACTGTCTTCTTGGGTACTCTTGGTGTTGGTAAGGGTTAGCATACTTGCTTCAACATTGACAGATAAGTGCTCTTTCCTATCTCAGGTACTCTTTTCTTAATCATCTTCTGCCCCCCCAGCATGTACACAAATATTTAGGATGACCAGTTGGTATTCCTGTATATAATCCTGTATATAACACTCCACAGCCACTGCTCTCATTTGACCAGGACAAAACAGCAATCTGTTTGGTGAGCCACTTCCTGGCCAACAATTAAGTACTTGAAGACATCTCAACCTTATTTAGGTCCTTATAAGGTCAAAGTCCTATAAATTTATAGGTTAAAAAAATATATATATTGACAACATTTGGGGAAAAAATACTATATACTAACATATTTCTTGAAAGATTTTCCGCATATTGTCCTGAAATTCTCCAAATCCTCCCTTCAGAACTTTATATATGTGGCATTTCCCTCGGAAACAGCACTATCCATGTTTTTCATGTCATCAGGGAAACAAAAAAGGTGGATAAAACCTACTCACTTTCAATACTGAAGGACTTCTCCCTTCCCTCTTTAAATCTCCACAATTTTCACTGGATACAGAATGTTCCTCTGATCTGGTACTGTTTGAAATGCTTTTTAAATTTTAAAATGGATGCAGGTTTTAGCACATGAGAGTTCCTGAGAAAAGCCTTTTCAGTGATATAATAACAGTTTACAGTTTTTGATCTGAAGATTTAATTTCTGTCTGCAATCAGCTGCCAGGCACAGACCTTTCAGGTACAAGGAGCCTCACTACAACTCACAACAATGGCGATCAGCAGGACAGTAACATAAAAAAACATTGGGTAGAGAGTTTTGAACTTTGTCAGCAGTGAGGAAACATAAATAGTAAGAGATTGAAGTAATTATTTTCACTTTACTTTCTCATAGCTGCTGCTGGTTTTGTGAAAAATTGTATTTGCTTTAGCACCTTGGAAATTCAGAATCTAAGCTTCAGAAGATTTCATAAAAACACCAATTTGTCACAGGAGAAAGACAATAGAAGCTCCATTTCTTCCTAGAGAAAGATGAAGTGAAGAGAGACACTGGAAGACTTCTGGGTCCCCCAAGCTGAGACCTATCTCAGATCGCCTATTACAGCTACTGCAATCAATCTCTTTCCAAATGCTCAGGAATTCATAATCAAAATTTTCTGAGTCAGATTAACAGCTCCTAAAGTCAAAACCAGCCATCCAAAATGCCTCTCTGACTCAGCCCTGTGAGATGGCAGCATCAACCAACTCTGAATACACAGAACACAATTAATCATCTGTGAAATGCGAATGCTGCTTCATTCATGGAACAATGGGGGTTTGCAGAAGAGATCTCCCTGATACTGCTAACTCTGGTCTCTGCTAAATAGGGAAGGGAAGGGCAGAAATAAAAACGCTGCATTTATTGATCTGACAAAGCAGTTATTACACGGAAATTTAACTATACTGAAGTTACAAACGCTATTTGGAAGAAATTGAGTTTCTGACATCAGAAACTCATGGGGGACAGAACCCCCATGGAAGCACCCATTTCCTTACAGTAAATGGTTCAACAGCAACAGTTATATCTCAGCAACAATAGATCCTATTCCTCTTTCACCCATTCAGAATCAAAAAACTCCATAAATCAAAGTACTTTTTGTTCTTTACAGTTTCAAACTTATTTACTGTCCTACATGAAAAGTATCACCATTATCAAACTCCAAATAATTTTATCTCATTCAAAGAATAGGTGGTATTGTAATCAAAGTCTTATGTTTGTACAGTGATGACAGGACTGTCATCCTGGAATAAGGGAAATGTGGTATCCTCTGCAGAGGAGGGGATAGTGAAAGCATCCCCTCTTGGGTGTATTTTGAAACACTGGAAAAAGTTTGGAGGAGACTCCTTAACTCAGAAAAAGCTAATCGAATATTGTAATCACTGGTGGCCAATTTATCACAGAATCACAGAATGT